GCAGTAGGTCTAGCTGTAGCAGTAGCAGTTGCAGTAGTAGTAGTAGTAGTAGAAGCAGTAGTAGTAGTAGTAGTAGTAGTAGTAGTCAGTAGTAGTCGTAGTAGTAGTAGTAGTAGTAGTAGTAGTAGTAGTACTACTACTACTACTACTACTACTACTACTACTGCCGGCTAGCTAGCAAGCCAGCCGGCTAGCTAGCTAGTAGAAGTAGTAGAAGAAGAAGTCGACGTCGATGTCGAGGTCGTCATCGTCGTCTCGGCGTTGTCCCGTCCTCGTCTCGTCGTCGTCACAGCACCCATACTGGTGGCATCGCAGTCTTCATAATCCATGCCAGCATATGCTCATACTTGCAACACCTACAATTAGCGAGAACGGTGCTTTGATTTTCGCTTTCGCTCCTTGGGGACCTTGTGCTTTTGCATCGTAACATTCTGTGCCCCGTAGCGCTTTCTTAAATCGGTCATCGGCTAGCTACAGACACGTGAGGCCCGAAGTAGTGCTCAAAAATAAGCCTTGACTCCAAAGCCCATTAATAAACTCCAAAACTGCGCCTAGCTCTGGACCGCTAAGCTATAAACCTCAAAGCCTAGAGCCTCAATCCTACACAGCGCAACCTTGGACCCCAACCAAGTTTTGGCGCTCTAAGCCTTGTCCATGGCAGGCTTGAAGAAGGCGTCGAAGTAATCGGAGAACCTCTGCTTAAGCTAAATGTGGTGATGGGTCGGTAGAGATTGACGGCTCCCATTAACCCGAAGCCCTAATTTAATTGAACCCCGAAACCTTATACTTGAGGGACCCAGAGAACTGCGGAGTTCAGAAGCTTGTCCGATGCCAGAGTCCCAACCTTCCAGCTTCATGAGAACGAGGCTCAAAACCCTAAACCCTGAACCCTAAACCCTGAACCCTAAACCCTAAGTCTTAAACCTAAGCTTAGTTAACAGATCAACGGCCTGGTGCTTCGGGTGACTTTGGATGAACCCTAAACCCTAAATCCTAAACCCAAGCTTAGTTAGCAGATCAACTCACGGCCTGGCGCTTCGGGTGACTTTGGAGCACAAGGCCAAACCCTTCTCAGATCCCAGCCATGAGAATCTCGAAACCCCTTCGATGGAAAACAACACCGGGACCCTTCTCAAAAAAACCAACAACAATCCCCAGAAAGTCCCAGAATACCCTTTGAAAGTTGGTTCAAAGTCCGAGTCCCAATCCCCAACAGGTAAATCCCTCCAGAGCTTGAAAGCCGCCCTTGAAAAAGGAATCCTTCGAACTTGCCGGGCTCCTCTGAGCCAAGAGGGGTGATTCAAGGGTTTAGGGTTTAGGGTTTAGGGTTTAGGGTTTAGGGTTTAGGGTTAACAGGGGAGTTGGGGCTTTAGGGGCTTTGAGTTGGGCCTGAGGTTTGTCGGGTTCAGGGTTTTCCGGGCTTTGGGTTGGTTTTGAGGTTTGGTGTTCCCCAAACCCTAAACCCTCACGAACGCCGCTGGAGACGCTTCCGGGTGGAGAGGTCTCGGTCTTTGCAAAATGTGGTACACCTGGTGTGGCCTACTTTAAGGTTTAGGGTTTAGGGTTTAAGGGGGTTTAGGTAACCCTAAACCCTAAGCTTCCCTCAACCCTAAAATACCCTAAAACCTACTGAAGCCGAGATCCTCACCGAAACCCCTTGGCCCGCAAAACGGGCGGGGGGGGCAAACTAGCGCCCCACTGGCGGCTCTCAAAAGCCCGGCACGCCGAATCTGCAGAGTAGTACGCTGGTGTAAGCACCCTAGACAAGGAAGCCTAAACCCTAACAGCCCCAAGGAAGCCCGCACAGCTCTTAGATCCAGAAGAGCCTACAAAGCCGCCGCAAATCCAGGCCTTTAGGCCCTAGACCTCAAAGCCCTAAACCCCAATCGTAATCCGTCAAACCCTAAGCCCCAAACCCTAAACTCTAAACCCTGAACCCAAAACCCCAAACCCTAAACCCTGAACCCAAAACCCCAAAAGTCTGACCCCTGAACCCTAAACCCTAAACCCTGAACCCTGAACCCCAAACCCTAAACCCCAAACCCCAAAGCCTAATCCCCAAGCCCTAAACCCTGAACCCTATAAGCGCATCCCAAAGCCTTGCGTACCCCCCGCAAATAAAACCCGGCAAACGCCGAATCTCCTGAGCCCCGGGCCCGGCGAAGCCCTGGGCCAGGGCCAGCTGCCGAACCTTCAGAAACGGGCTGAGGATCCTACCTTAACCTACCAAAACCCACCTTTTTCTGTAGGTTCTTATTAAAAACCCTAATCTGGGATTTATAGGGACCCTGCAAAAAAGGTAGGATCTGGTAGGTTTGGGTAAGTAGTATTAAGGAGACTCTTGGGGTTAGGTGTGGGGGTTTTGGGGTTTCGGGGTTTAGGGTGAAGTGGACCCTTTTTAACCCAGCTTTAGGATCCTACGGTTGATGATATAAATCCTGCATGACCCGCAAGCAAGAATATACCATAATTCCCATAGCTTTGGGGCCCGTGAGGTAATGCAGGATTTATATCATCAACGGTAGTAAGACCCCTTGGAGGGGACCCTTCTGAACACCACTTTGAGGCTCTCTTACAAGGGACCTTGTTGAGAGGGTCTACGTCCCCAAGGCTCCCCCTAATCCTAACTCCTATGATGTGGTGGCCCCATTATCCCAGATGTTAAGCTTTAAACTTCCTGAACTTAAACCCCAAACCCATATCTGGAGCCCTAGACGCCCTGAGCCCCAAAACCTCAAGCCTTCAACCCTAAACCATATGCCTATATCGTAAGCCCTAAACTCCCTAAACCCTTAAACCCCTGAGTCTTAAGTGCTAAACTTCCTAAGCCCAAAACCTTAAACCCTAAACCCTACAGTGAATCCCAGAAAGTTGGAACATTAGTATCACTATCTTGACAGGGTCAACGCTACGAGTTTAGGCCTTAAGATATAGGGTTTAAGGCTGGAGGTTTTGGGGCTTAGGGCGCTTAGGGCTCAAGATATGGGGGTTTGGGCTTAAGAGCTGAGATTTACGGACGGTTTAGGGTCTAGGGCGCTGAGTCTTAGCTAGGGATTTCGGCTTAGGGATAAGGTTTGGGTTTGAAGGTTCAGGACCTGGAAAGTTGAGGGTTGGTATACAGGGGCGTGCGGTCAGGACTTATCGCGTGCTTGCTGGGGGTTTAGGGCTTAAGATATGGGGTTTAAGCCGTAAGGTTTTGGGGTTTAGGAAGTTTAGGGCGTACGATATGTCAGCATGTAGTCCCGCCCCAGCCACCCAATCAGAGTTTAGGGTTCCCTCCAAAACCTCCCTCAAGGAGGGCTTTCTTCTAGCGGTCACCCTCCCGTTCTCTCAAGCCCTTCACGTACTTTGCCGGAATCGCTTTTTCTGTCCGTGGGTGAAGAGAACGATAATTTTGAAGAGTGTGAATGTGTGAAGAGAATGGGGGCCAGCAACAAACCTCTTTATGTTCGGCAGTTGCCCAGTCTCTTCACGCTTTTCACATACTTGCACGGGGTCGTTCTTTCTGCTTGTGGGCGAAGAGAACGATAATTTTGATGAGTGTGAATGTGTGAAGAGAATGGAAACCCAGGAAATAGATTTCTTGCTCTCTCCTGCCCTTCCAGAGATCTGCAAAGAAACATAATGTAGGGGTCTTCCTATTTTTAATAGGGCTTTGGGGTCTGTTCGACTATAAGTAAAGTAAGGAAAAACCCAAAATAGTATAGGCAGCTAGTGAGGCCCCTATAGTAACACCATTTACAGCCCGCCCACACACTGCGATGGATTAGTGAACCCAGATGGGGTCGACCCCCGATCCCCTTCCCCGAGCCTTGCCTGATATAGGAGCCTTCATGATTCTGATCCTAATTGGGTTTTGGGCTCCTTTATAGTGTAATTCTAGTAAGGAGCCCTAAGGAATAATATAGGTAATTACTTAGACTTCTGTATTATGCGATGCCCCCACTACGACCATAGAAATATTGAGAATCGAAGCACGGCCGTTGTGCCGGCGAGCAACCCTCAGCCCTGTTTGCTAGAATCTCCAGACGACCCTCAACCTCCAAATGCCACGAGTTGCCCTAAAGCCTAAAGCCTAAACCCTAAATCCACAAATCCCCAAAGCCCTAAACCCTAAACCCCAAAATCCGACAAAATCCCTCGACCCTAAATCCTAAAACCCCTAAGCCCTAAACCCTGAATCCCAAAACCCTAAGAACCCAACATCCCAAAACCCTCCTAAACCCCCCTAAACCCTAAACCCTAAACCCTAAACCCTAAACCCTAAACCCTAAACCCTGAACCCTAAACCCTAAACCCTAAACCCTAAACCTCTGCGACTTCGGCGGGCTCTTGTCCAGGCCTTCTTCCAGACCGCGCTCGTCTCTCGGATGATGGAGCCGTCCAAAGTCATGGCCCCCGGAGGAACCTATGGGTCAGAGGATCTGGTTGAGGGTTTGGGGTCTTGGAGTTCAGGGGTTTAGGGGTTTGGGGGTTTAGGGTTGAGGGTTTAGGGGTTTAGGGGTCTTGGGTTTAGGGTTCAGGAGTTTAGGGTTTAAGGGGTTTAGGATTTAGGGTTTTAGGCTGATGTAGAGTAACTCCCCAAAAAATGGAAAAGGGGCTTAAGAACAATCAGTGCCTGGACTCCTTTACAGGACTCTTAAGGATTGAGGCTATTGGGAAACCACCTGTTGGTAAGCCTTCTGACCTAGACGAGTTTGCGATCAGATGGGGGGAAGGGGCGATGTTCTGCACATGCTAAGCAGTCAAAGAAACAATTCGGACAACCTGTAAGGCAGTATACAGATAGGGCCTGAATAATTAGACTAGGGCTTTGGGCTCCTTTATAGAGTTATAATTAAGAACCCGAGGAATCACATTGGTAACCCTAAACCCTAATGTTAAGCCCTGAACCTGCCTCCCCAACCGACTGAAAAAGGCTTTGCCTGCAGCCGTTCTTCAGCCAGCGCTGTCGACTTGCCAGCTGCGGATGGGCCGAGCCTTACTTGGAGGATCATGGGACTTAGTAAGTAAGGTTATAAATACGGTAACTATAGTTATATTTAATAACAATTCCCATTAAGGTACTTATAACCTTACTAAGTCGTCCCATGATCCTCCAAGTACTAGAAGGAGGACATGAATGATTAGGCAAGTGCTCCTTTCAGGGGTTTGTTTAAGGAGTTTACAGGTTTTCGGTTTTTTGTTTAAATGGGGCTTGTGCGATATTACGGCCCCTTCATAAGTAGAATGGGGTCTCTTACACGGTTCAATAAGGGAAATTACGGGGGATCCCTACGGGCTGTATGCCACAGGGTCCTGAATAACTAGAAAAGAGGTTTAGGATAAATTTCCATAAACCTATAACAAAATTAGACGGGAATGTCTTGTATTCAGACTCTTATGCTGAGCCGCGGTAAACCCGCAATGAAACAACAGTTCTATATGGCATTCTTATATTGACCCTCAAACCCTAAACCCCTAAACCCTTTGGGGCTGCGTAACAACAGAAACGAAACTCGAAAGTGCAGTCCAGCTTGGACCGTCGATGTTTGGGGATCTTAGGGTTTACATGGGGTTTGGGGGGGTTCACTAAGCCCCTGAACCCCTAAACCCTAGCCCCTAAATCCTAAACCCTAAACCGTAAACCCCTAATTCCTAAACCCTAAACCGTAAACCCCTAAATCCTAAACCCTAAACCCTAAACCCCTAATTCCTAAACCCCTAAACCCTTTAAGGGCCCTACACCCTGAACTTGGTGGTCGAAGGGTGTCGACATGGGAATGAGGTTTCCGCACTGGGAATGTTAGGGTTTAGGGTTTAGGCTTTAGGGTTCAGGGTTTAGGGTTTAGGGGTTGCGGTTTCAGGGATTATCAGCAGAGCTGTTGAGGGTTAGGGGGTAAGAGTTTAAGGTTTAGGTGCAGCATATCAGAAGGGCCATGTGCTTGTCAAGCTCGTCCTGACCCCGATAGCGCTTGCTGTGAAAAGGAATTCTTCTTGTGAGTCGCAACATGAACCGTTCAGGCTAATGTAGGGGCCTTAATAACTAGAATTGAGTTTGGGGCGCAATGTACCACAATCATAATAGTATAGGTAATTATTTAGGCCCCTATATTAACCACCCTTGAGAGATCCCGAACGATTGGGATGCCACATTTGAAGCTGCTCTGAACCCCGCAGTGGTTGCAAGCTGCAGTGGTAACAAGGTCTGATGCTTTTCCTGTAGACAGAAGGCACAAGTCAACACAGCTGGCAAGTGTTTTTCAAGCGGCTGAGTCGTCGGTCCCATGAGGGATGTCTTACTATACCACTATGTGCGGTTTGCTGTTCATCCTGCTTCCCGCAGCATGCTCGGGCTGTGAATGCTCAACCTTTCATACTTACTTCCAACTCCCTAAACCCTAAACCTAAACCATGACGGTCTCTCCAAGAGAGACTTCGGAACTACTCGATGACCAGGCCTCTGTCCCAACAGCCTCCACAGAGGCCTGGTCATCGAGAGTTGGAGTCACTGCTTATAAATACTCAACGACCATGCTGGCATGTTCTGCTGAGGCGGTGCGGCACTTGTATCAGTTATCACCGCAGTAGTCTCATAATATGGGGGCCTGAATAGTTACAGCAGGGGATTTTTCAACAGGGCCTTGGGGCAGCTTGCACTAGAACCACAACAGGGAGTACAAGGTTCATAACCCTAAACCCTAAACCCTAAACCCTAAACCCCCGACCCGGACATTACAGTCTCAGACCGCGATCTCCGAATCGCAATGTACGTGGCCTGCTCGACAGAGAGTTTGTCGTCGTACACAAGTCCTCAAGACAGTAGGGTTTAGGGTTTAGGGTTTAGGGTTTAGGGTTTAGGGTTTAGGGTTTAGGGTTCAAGCTACTGAACAATGCCTAGCCGCAGCAAGTCCTCACATCCGCCAGATGCCCCGTGTAGCATTCAACCACCCATCCTCCTGAACCCTGGCCCAAACAGTCAAGCCCACGCAAAACCATGACACAGACACACCAAATCCTAAACCCCCACAAGTAGAATCTCCGAATAGCACCCGATAAGACCTATATTATTAGGACCTCAGATAACGAACCTCTAGCTGCTAGCTTTCAGAATCCCCCGCCATTCTGCCGCGGTATTCGTCGAAAAGACAAATAACACCATAAAATTGCCATGCCCAGCGCTCTTTACTAACCTAAATCGCAGCTTTCAGAAACCATACACAAGCCGCGTGAGGGTTCCTTGATGAATTCGGGGCCAATTAGGGCCTAAGGCGCGAAGGAGGGTAAAGGGTCTAGGGAAAAGGGTTGGGCTTTGAGGTTTTATGTAGGGTTCGGGATGTTAAGCGTTTGGGGCTTCGGGCTTTTCGCGCCTCGGGCTTTCAGATTCACGGTTTCCTGAACCCCAAATCCCTAAACCCCAAACCCTAAACCTTAAACTCGGGTTCCGGAGGCATTTATCATAGGCTGCGAAAACCTTATTAAAACCCTTCCGACCGCTGCGAGCCCTTTACGGTTTAGGGTGTTGATTGGGTTTAGTGTTTCCTTAACGAATCACTACAAACCGTTTCACAACTTTACAAACCCTTAGCAATCCTTAAAAGATCGCACAGAACCTTTGAAGACCCTGTAAACTGCAAAGCAAAACCATGCCAAGACCCTTACGCTGCCATAGGGCTTGAGAGCCGGGGATGATATGGCTTTTCTTCTTGTTTCTATGTTCAATATTTTACTCATTGTTGTTGTTACTATTCACTAGTTTTCCTATCATTATCGTTTTCTACTGCTGTACTGTATTTGAGGCTCCTTTACTACTAGGTCAGCAGCACTTTTGCCAGAACACAGCCATAATGGCCTATGGCATTGGCCTCCAGCTCCGTGGCAAACAAAAACTTGCATCTGCAATTTGCAGCGTGCACGCAAAACGTCATTGGGTTTTGGGGGTTTGGGGTTTAAGCTTTGGCAGCTCAGTCGGGCTTATAAGATTTAGGGCTTATAGGGCCATCATTATGGCCACAATTGTGGCAGGCAGTGCAGCAGTCTCAGAATCTGCGGTTTCGGGGTGCTGCGTAGAGGGCCATTATTACCGCTTAGTCTGAGCCTTATAAATATAAATATAAATATATACATATATATATATATGTATATGTATATATATAGTATATATATATATATATAGTATATACATATATATATATACACATTACATGTATTGGTAGTTGGAGACCAAATGTAGACTGCAATCCTGCACTGCAAGCAACCAAGGAAATGTGAAATGCTGCGCCGCCTGGCTTACATTGCAAGATTACACGTTGACTAAATGCATTTCTGTCTGCCTGTCTGTCTGTCTGTCTGTCTGTCTTCCTGTCTGTCTGTGTGTGTGTGTGATGTATATTTGTTTGTTTGTATGTACGCACGTATGTACGAAGGTAGGACGTAGGTAGGTAGGTAGGTAGGTAGGTAGGTAGGTAGGTAGGTAGGTAGGTACGTCGGTCGGTAGGTAGGTAAGTAGGTAGGTAGGTAGGTAGGTAGGTAAGTAGGTAGGTAGGTAGGTAGGTAGGTAGGTAGGCAAGCAGGCTGGCAGGCAGGTCGGTAGCTTGGTGCGCAAGTGTGTATGTGTGTGTGTGTGTGTTTGTTTGTTTGTGTGTGTGTGTGTGCGTGTCGGTCTGTCTGTGTTCTTTGTGCGCATGTGTGTATATGTGCTTGTGCATGCGTATCTCTATTAGAATGCAAATGTAGGCATGCAGAGCTGTAGCTGTACATATGTATGGCTGTATGGCTCTGTGCCTGCATGCCTGTGTGAGGTGTATCTCAAGGCTTCAATGCAGGCGGCGCAATAGATTCTTGCACTACGACGAAAACGACGAGGACAACAAAAGGCCCGTACATCCTGCAGAGCTGTAGCTGTACATATGTATGGCGCTGTGCCTGCATGCCTGTGTGAGGTGTATCTCAAGGCTTCAATGCAGGCGGCGCAATAGATTCTTGCACTACGACGAAAACGACGAGGACAAAAGGCCCGTACATCCTGCGATTCCACGATACCACAAAAATGGTTCTCAGGACTTTACAAGCATGTCACATGGACGGCGAAGACTCTCCTCGGACCAAGAAGACCTAGACGCGGTCTGCAACGTAGCCAAGGTAAGGCACCATCTCTGCAAAGTCTGTCACGAGCTTCGCCCTTGCGGGCCCGGTCTCCTGCAGTTGACATGTCCAACATGATGTAGTGCGTCTGCAGATGGACCCTAGAAATACTGATGGATGCCCAATGGCTTGCAGATGCTTTTGGGAAGCCCCACTACCGCGTGAGAGCCGAGATTTTGGAGCACCGGCCTCCTTCAAAGCTTCGACGATGTAGGCTGGAGCGCCCACTTCCTCCGCGAGCGCGGTGGCGGTGAAGCCTCGGGCATTTTGGAGGTCGGTCCGCGCGCCGGCCGCAATCAAGACTGCAGCGGCCTGTTTGGCGTTGAGCTTCTGGGGTTTACAAGCAGTCTGGGTTTACGGCGGGATGCTTCCCTGCGAGGAACATCGGTTTTATGGGCTTGAAGTCGTAGCAACATGTAATTGAGGGTTGAAGAAGAAGAAGATGATGATGATGATTTTTGAGGCCCACTGGGGCATCCTGGCCTCAAAGGAGCTTGTAATGATGCTGCACATCAGAGGCGTGGCCTTCTCATGGTGGTAGGCATAGGTGCTCAGGGTGGATGACTTCCACCGATGCTTAAGGCTGTACCCTGCAAAAAGCACACCCTTTGCACTGAAGAAGGGCACGCTCAGCCGGTGGTTCACATCGGCCCCGGCGTCGATCAACGCCGCCACCACTTCGGCGGACAAGTTTACATGGAGCAGCGCACCGAACATTGTAAGGTCTATCTCCGAGGAGGGGGTGTCTTGTAACAACTCCTGCCAGTAACGGCAGGGCCGCTCTTAACGGTTGCTTGAAAGGTTCCGACACATGTCTTGTAACAACTCCTGCCAGTAACGGCAGGGCCGCTCTTAAC